GATAGATAGATAGATAGATAGATAGATAGATAGATAGATAGATAGATCCATTATCTTTACCCGCTTATTCCATTTTGGGTCACGGGGATCGCTGGTGCCCATGTCCAGCAATCACTGTGCGAGGGGCGGGGTACATCATGGACAGGTCTCCTGTCCATCACAGGGACACATAGAGACAAACAAACATTCACTCTCTCTCACTCACCTAGGGACAATTTAGAGTTACCAATCAGCCTAACATGCATGTTTTTGGTCTGTGGGAGGAAACTGGAGTACCCGGAGAAAACCCACACAGCATGGAGAGAACATGCAAACTCCACCCAAACACTGATGAACCACTTGTGTTTTAAACATTCCTGTATTTGAAATATGCATTTTTTTAATGTCTTTGTTTTTACACAAAATCCTAAATTGTATCAAACATAGTTTTGTTACACTTTATATAAAGATAAACCATTTTTTTCAAGTGTTCAGTATGCTGGTCTGTCCTATACGTTGCATTCTGCTTGCTTGGCCAGCTCCCATCAGGTCGGGACTTTCCCACTGACACAACACATGGTGTTGATGTGAGGTAAAACTGTGTCCTCTCTGGACCCTAGTCAATCTTCAAAGATTTAACGTCACAGAGTGGCCATTTGTGAAATTGCCTTTGGCCTGTCATGGCAGCTCATGAATATTGAAAACCTTACTGCAGAATGATTTGTTCACCAAGACGCCCCGGTGACGTCGTTGAGTCGAGCATACTTTACAGAATGTAGTCAGTAATTTTAGCTGCTAACAGAACAGTCTAAATGGCACACTCCCTTTAAATGGAGGCACATAAACCCAAACACACGTAGAAGTGCAGTATGTCATCTTCATTGGGAAACCCACTTTCAGGCTCTGCCTTTGTTGTCATGCAATTTAAACCAAGATCCCAGTTCCCCTCATCGATTTCCCTGCGTGCATTATGCTCAGTACCTCGGCGTCAGTATATCATACTGAATGGTTGGCATATTGGAGGCCAGTGAGGGGGAGGTAAAGACTGCTAACCTCACTTCTAGTTCCTGGAGAGCCCCCTAATGGACAAGAAATGGAAGTGCTCCTCTCCTCAGAGCTCAGCTGATGTTCGACTTGGCAGCTGGAGATTAAGGTTCAGCTTGTGACTGAATTTATTAGAAGGTACAAAGAAAATGCAGCTTTGAATGAGTACACCCTTCAAACTCTGATGGTTACTGGAAACTCACGGAGCTGCTTTTGATACCAGTTCTGGTCTTTATCCAGACTCTTGATCATGTCTGAAGAGCTACCCTGTGTCTGTGCCGCTGTTCCGTATTTGCTCTGTGTTTATTGGGAGATGAAACATAGTTTGTGAGGATGGATAATGTGAGTCCCATCACCCCCACCCCCCTCCAGCACACCTGTCCAGTGTTGGGTGCCTGCTGACAAATGAGAGGAGCATTGCTGTAAAACCTTGGGGGGAAAGTTGCACTGTGGGGCAAGGTGAAGATAGACAACTTTTGTGTTGCGCCGTCTTTACAAGCCTGCACTTGTCAGAGACCTGAAAGAGTGGAGTGCACGAGACAATAACAACATCCTTTTACAGGGTCAGGAAAGTCAGAGCACGGCTCCAACCACTGACTGAAGCCCAACAGGTTTGGGTCAGATCCCAAGATCCAGACTCTTGGCAGGATTGGCAGGCAGATGAATGCAACATGCAATCACAAGACTGCCTTTGTGCCCTTTCTTTCACCATCTCTCTTTTTTTCAACACTCTCCATTTCCAACCCAGACACACAGACTCTCACACACAAGCCCCTGGACAAATCTTATACTTTATCTTTTATGTGTTTAAAAATGCATTCCCTTTTTTTTATTCTCTCAAACCTCCATTTTACTGGAGTCAATACATAAAAGAGGACAAACTCAAAATTTAAGCCGTGATGCAGCTATCCTGCTTTTACCTCTGTGTACTCAAATAAACACAAAGGTGATGGCCGATCCGCTGGTCCACAGCGATGACAGGAACTCAGAAAAACAACGGAGGGAGATCTGTTCAGGTCTGGGTCCAACCCCGGAACAAGACGGCTCTGCTAAGATGAGAGAGAAGCTGTATAGTCGAGATGCTCATCTGCTATTCTGTTTGTCTGTGGCAAGATGAAAAGCATTCTTACCAAATCCACTGGAGGAGAGGCATATTGAAGAGGGCTTGCTCTTGCTGCTGGTTGGCATGGCAGCAGAGTCGTGCTTGGCAGCTCCACAACGCTTTTCAAAAGGCGTTCATGCCCTCTGTCTTCAGTCTGAACGGAGAGGACGAAAAATTGTTTCTTCTGCTAATTTGCGGCATCTTCACGGCAGACATCGGGTTTATTAATAATGCACGAGGTAAAACCTACGTAGGAGAAAGCTTTGAGAATATTAAAGTTTCTTATGTAGTGTAGGCTTTTGTTGACAGCTCTGTATTTGAACAGATCCAGGCGCCGTTTCCTGCATCGTAAAGTTTGGAATGTGTGTCAGAGCATTGGTTAATTTGAGAATCCACAGTTTAACTGAACACATGGTGATGTGTAATGATCAGGACTGTCTGAATTATTGATAAGCCATCTGTCAGTGCCCTGGAGTTGCCTGACTGGAAGGTTTTAGAGAAAAATTGAAACATGTGAATAAGGTGCTATTTATATGACAGACCTTGATGTCAGGCCTCAGACTGATGAAGTCTTTTGGACGAAAGACGAAACATTTCTTCCAAAAACGAATCTGTCCAGATACCATGATTTAACGTTTTTTTGTTTTAGAGATAAGTTTGTCTGTTTTGCTACATTTCTGTTAAATCAGCTCAAAACAAATTAACTTACATTTTGTCCATCCATCCATCATCATCCGTTTTTCTACAGCCACCTCTTCCAGCTCTTCTGGGAGGACTCCAAGGTGCTCCCAGGCCAACAAAGAGACGTAGTGTCTCCAGCCTGTCCTGGGTCTTCCCCGAGGTCTCCTCCAAATCAGACATGCCCGAAGCGCCTCCTGAGGGTGGCACCCAGGGAGCATCCTTACCAGATGTCCAAACCACCTCAACTGGTTCCTCTGGATGTGGAGGAGCAGTGGTTCTACTCTGAGTCTCTCCTGATAACTGAACTTCTCACCCTGTCTCTAAGGGAGAGTCCAGCTACCCTGTAGAGGAAACTGATTTCAATCTCCTGGATCCACGATCTCATTCTTTCAGTCTCTACCCAGAGTTTATGACCAGAGGTCATAGACCCCCTTCACCACAACAGACCATTACAGAGTCCACAATACTGCAGACGCTGCACCAATCCGTCTGCTAATGTTACGCTCCATTCTTCTCTCACTCATGGAAAAAAAAACCAGATATACTTGAACTCCTCCACTTGAGGCAGAACCTCACCCTCGACTTGAAGAGAACAATCCACCCTTTTCTGGTTGAGAACCATGACCTCAGATTTGGAGGTGCTGATTCTTATCCCAACCGCTTCACACTCGGCTGTGAACCGCTCCAGTTAGAGCTGAAGATCCTGACACGATGACACAAACAGGACCACATCATCTGTCAAGAGCAGAGATGAATCCCGAGGCCATTGAACCGGACTCCCTCTGCCCCCTGGATGCACTGAGAAATTATGTCCATTAAACATGACATGAATGTGAACGAGGGAGAGGGCCAGCACCGGAGGAGGGGGCGTGCCAAAGAGACCATCTTAGCACCAACAAAACTGGGTTGTTCCACTTTGGAGTAAGCTGTTGGGGGAAGAATCAGTTTTGTGTTGTGTGTTTCCTTGACTGATGAAGCCTTCTGGATGGAAGGTGAAATGTTTCAGCACAAAAAAATAAACTGTCCAGATGACCTAACTGAAAATTGTTGGATTGTATACCTGGATTATTGAGCATGGACTTTGTCTGTCCATAAAAGTTATGAACAGAATCTGTGACAACGGGCGGCTCTGGCAGAGTCCGGCTCCCATCCTGAAGGCTCCAACTTACTACCGGCAATGTAAACCAAACTCTCACACCACTTGTGCAAGAGTTTGGTTCTCATTGCCGGTAGTAAGTTTTTCTAAACTGCTTTGTGCCAATTCAGTTTTTATTTAGGTGAAGTGTTATTACATTGATAATCCTTAAGTGGTTTTCCATAGGATTTGGACGAGAACATGAGCAGTTTTACCGTCCTTGTAGTTTTTGTTTTCACTGTGCAAGCTTCCAAATCTGACAGATGAAATTAAATAAACCTGTTGACTCCTGCCCACCGTCGGTTTATTTAATTCTAAAACACATTTTTAGCTTCCTCTCATGTAGTTTAATAGAAACCAGCTTGAAATGAATCTGTCAAGCTTATGAAAAATGTAAACAACGTCCTTGAAATCTAAATATCTCAGTTGGCAGCAGTGAATGAAATGTTGGCGTGCTCGTTGACACGAATGCAAAGCGGTTCATTCCAGGTTGGTCAGTGTTAGCTCTGGCACACCAGCGTAGAGCGGAGCGTGCCTTCCACTCTTCATAACATTTAACAGCTTTTAGTTTAGCAGGCTGGTTCAGGAAAGAGACTGCTGTGCGATTACAGGGTCACAAAGTTAGGAAGACAACACATGAAATGACGGTTCCACTTAGAGTTTATTTGAACTTGGCAGATTCTCAGCTCTGAGTATTTCAAGCAATGAATAAAAAGTATAGCTGTCAAGTGCAATGTAATGAATTCATAAACACTAGTTAAGAAAAATGCATAATTATTGATCATAAACTGCTTGTTGCTGTGTCCATCAACAGTTTATCCTTTATATTCTGACTTTTTTTTTTTTTAACTGTATAAATGTAAACGTTCAAACTGCAGGAAAAAACCAGAAACTTTAAAGAAACAGCAAACTTATTAAATATCTAAATCTTTATAACATTGAGATGTTCTACAAGTAAGTCTGTCACAAATAAATTCAAGGAATATCTTAAAACCAGCTCAAGAACACTGCATTAAAAATTAATTTAAATGTGTAGTATCTGTACAGGTCCTGATACCAGCCAAGTGCTCATACTTGTATTCATAAAACCACACCGATAATTAAAACCAATACCATTTTAATACTCGATGACAGTATTTCGGTTAAAGCCAAGTAACAAAGACGGCAATTTTTTTTATTGTGGTTTAAAAATGTTTTAAGAAAAACACTGGCTGCAGAATGTTTGCTGTGATGTTAATAAAATAAATGCTTCTAAAGAAACTGATGTTTAGGTACCAACTCATTAACTACTCAGTATCAATACACAGTATCAGTATCAGAACTCTGTTTAAGCAATCAGTATTGACGAGTACCCAAACTGAAGTACTTGTACTTGGTCTGAACAAAGCAAGTATTGGGACTCTCCTATTTTAAAACGTATGATTAACTGAAGTAAGAATGTCTCTTTCTGTGTCTTGACTGCACCAGGTATGACTTTGTAGAAATCGAAGATCCGGCTGAGAAGACGCTCCTGGGTCGCTGGTGTGGGTCACAATCAGCACCAGCGACCCACAGATCTGAAGGAAGTCAGATCATCGTCCGCTTCATTTCCGATGAGTATTTCCCCTCAGAACCAGGATTCTGCGTCCACTACTCCATTCTGCCTGTGGTATGTAACGGTCAGAAGCAGAAAAAAGTGCTTTATTGTGTTTTCTGTCCAATCAGAATGAGCTGTGCTGCTCTTTGTGAGAATAAATTATGTGTTTGTCTTAATCTAGAAAAATCCCTTTCTTAGGGTTCCAGAAACATGAATCTTGTTTTTTGTCGAAGTTATAAAGAACCCGTTTTAACTTGATCATGTTAAGCTGAGTAGTGACGTCAACATACAGTTTTTACATTTTGCATTTATTGCTAACTGTGGTGGCCATCTTGGATTGGGTTGACTCCAAAAGTGAGTCAGTTGTAGATGTTCATTCACTCATAATTTCTGAGAGTTCCTTTGTAATCTGAATTATGAGATATTTTTTATAAATCTAAAGATAAATAAACACACCAACATATGCACATACAACAGAAAGAAAAATGTTGCCATTTCAGCACTGGCAGTGGGCAATAATAAAAAATAAAAACACAAGGATATCTGTTTTAGCCTGTGAAGGAAGAAGCGTGTGAAAGATGATGGTTGATTATTTGTTTTGCCAAGTTCCAAGCAGCAGTCATTCCAAATAAGTTTTAACGCCCACATTTTAAAAACGACTAAATATGGCTGTACTTGTGAAAAGTATCATCATTATTGATTTTCAAATAACTGCTATAACCTTGTGAGATGAACTTTTTCTTGATAAGGAACACCTTTTAAACGTTTTGATATGAGAAGCACCTTCAGTTTGTAGGACGCCTTTAGAAATATAATAAAGTTACATAAATTACACATATTTTGTCTGTTCTGATTCTTTTTCTTTCCAGACCGATATGAATTCAAAGCACACAACAGAACAAATGCTGTTCATCTGAGATGCTTTTATCTTCTGTGCTGTTCTTGTTTTGTGAGGAAAGTGTGTTTTTATTCTTCAATCTTCAACAATCAGACTTTGGTTTCCATGTAATGGATGATTTGACCTCTGAGACGTAGCTGTAGCTCCACATCTTGTCAGATTACACCTGAGGTGTTGCAAAGGCACGGATCGTTCCTTCAGGCTGGAGTCAAGAAAATTGGTAATTCCACATCCCCAAAGTGAACTTTTGACCTTCGAAGAGGCTTTGGCTTTTTTTCAAGGGTCCTGAAATGAAAACACTTTATAGCCACCCATGTTTTTTTTGTTTGTACTCTTCTTCCAACTAAAACAAAGTAGAAGTGTTTGGAACAAGAGACTGGACAATAATGTTTCACACAACTGGAGCAAACATTGGATGTTCATCTACGACTGATTACCCTTCAAAGACAACCCAGGTCAAGATGGCTGCCATAGCCAACTGATCATATAAAGCACTAAAATGCTCAGTTGTAGTTCATTACAGAATATATGATGTGTGTATATCTTTGGGATGAACCAGTTTTTAATGTATTTTGGGGTTTAAAAGCCACTGGGACGTCATGTCTAGAAAATAAACGTCTCAGTTTCTCTGAAAATCCTGCAACATACGGAATGACCACTGGTCTAGACTGGCCAAAACTGGTCCATCCCAAAGATCCAGTCCCCTGGCACAGAGTAATATTGTGTATGCTGTTCAGTGTCAGGAGGGTGATCAGTCTTACATCGGAGAAACTAAAGAGCCACTGGCCCAAAGGATGGTTTAGGAAGGTCGAGAGCTTCAGATCTTTTTGCAAGATATTCCAGGAAACAGGAGCGGAGTAGGAGAAGGTCCTTTTGTCTAGTTCAGTCCTCACTGAGGGAACACTGCAGGTAATGATGTCCTGAGAGCGCACGCTGTAGCTGCACTCACACAGAGACATGTAGGAGGAGATTTATGAAGGCAGCAGACCAAGAAGTGATTTAAAGATGAAAATGTACCAGTGAGAGAGTCTGTGTGAAGTTAATGGTGACCAGTTAACCAGTGAATACTGGGTGCAGTGGTGGGTACGGTAGTTACAGCCAGTTATGAATTTTAATGCGCCGTGATGGACAGAGTCCAACATCTGCAGGGTTCTTGTAGGAGTGTTAGAATAAATAATGTCTCCATAGTCAGTGGAGCGGAGGAATGTAGAAGTTACCCTGGGGTTTACTCTGGGAGCAGTTTATACTTTTATTGAAAGCAAACTTTAAAGCAGCTTCTTTTTTGCTGCAACAGATAAATGTAAATTCATCAGTGATTGGATCGTTAAGGCCTTGGAGGAAACAAGAGATTGTACTTGTCTTGAACATTTCAGCTCTGGGAGGTGCAGAAAGCATCAGGAGCAAAGCTTGGGGCTCTGCATGTTCACTTTGTTGTCCCTTTGAACCTCCCTGCGACAGAAAAAGGAGCTCTGAACAGCAGGACTCTGTTTCCTCTGTGGTCAACAGCCTCATGCACTTCAGTTTATATTTAAACAAGCAGCGACTCCTTATTTACCACTTCCGTGGAATGAAAGAGGAGAAAAATAAAAGACACTCTGTAATTCACAGGAAGAGATTTTAGGAGGGGAAAGTGAAACGGCTGCGGCGAAGAGGTTGTTAAAACACAGAAGAGGAGTGTGTTGAATAGAGCGTGACGGGTGTTGAGTGGTGGGCGTTGTGGCTCAGAGGAGGAAACAAACATACGGCTTTGTGTCCGTGTGTTCCTTTGGCCTAAAAGCTCTTATTTATCTTAATGGACTGAAGAGATTTTTACACAGTGGACCTAAAACTCACGCACATTTCTTCAAATAGCATCACAAGCACAAAAATATACTTGACCGTGACAAACGGAGACTTGGGGAGGTATTTAAAGCAAATGCAAAAATTGTCAGAATCATTAAAATAAGGTCTGCATTTAGTGGCCTCAGTTTCATTTAATTATGTAGAGTGGGTAAAATAAACATGCAAAGCAAACCTTGTTGCTTACTCAAAGTCCTCTTGTGCAAGGAAGTGGTTTGAAGCTGCATGCAAACGAGTCAGATAGATTGTTTTCCAGAGCTCTCCCAAAACGCTATTTCAGAACTGTCATCTCAACAGAGTCAGCTGAACCCGTTATTTTAGTTACCAGGAATAAGATTCTGTGGTTTGTGTGACAAGAACCAAAATGTTTCCATCACAAACGGCATGAAAACAAGCGAGTCCTTCAGGGTCAGGAACCGTTGTGATTGTTGCATTGCTGAACTTTCATTTATCCTTAAAATAATACAACTAATTCAAGGTTTTACAAAGTAAAACCTGATCTGAAACACATTGTACCGATCAGGATGAAAAAAATACTTTACATAACTTACATAAAATCTTTGACACTTGCACACATTTTGAAATATTTATTTTCAAAACGTGTAAAATTGGTACCTAACATAGAGTCCAGTTGGAGCTCGATGAAGCTGGCATCAGTTACGTTTTATCCAAAGTTAAGGATTTAGCACCAACGTATAAGTTGTGCAATAAACAATTTCAACTAGTATCTCTGTAGACTGACCGTCCCAAACCAGCCGCTAGGGAGCACCAGCCAGAGTAGCTCTGGTTCTGGTCCCAAGCCCGGATAAATGGTGAGGGTTGTGTCAGGAAGGGCATCTGACGTAAAAACCTGTGGACAAAACTATAATGAGAGTTCATCAAAGTGAAACCAGCGGATCAGTCGAGGCCCGGGTTAACAACGACCACCACCGGTGCTGTTGACAAACGGTGCCGGCGGAAATTGTGCTACTGTTGGTCGAAGAGATACAGGACGGGTTGAACAACTGAAATAAAGTTGGAGAGGACACACTGAGATGGTTTGGACATGTCCCGGGGAGGGACAGTGGTTTGGACATGTCCAGAGGAAGGACAGTGGGGAGGGACAGTGGTTTGGACATGTCCAGAGGAAGGACAGTGGTT